TTATAAATTTCTATAAAAAAAACTTAATTGCAAGAATAACTATTTATCTAGACGCATATTATTGAGCCAATTTATTTGACCATTTCATGCATGATTGTACTGCCAATGTTACTTTAGTACGCCTACTTCTTCGTAAATCTTGTTCTGTGCGTGAAGAAGCTAGATCCTGCAAAACATTCATTAGTTTATTTTTAAGCCGCAATAAAATTTAAAATTAAAAAAAAAAAAAATTATTACCTCTTGCCGCTTAATCATGCCCCAAGTAATATCTTGGTGATATGCTGTCAATTCATTATTTAAAGCTGATTCCCGTAATCCCTTGGTATTAAGCCATCGTTGCAGCTCATCGATCTAGTAAATAATTTTTATTACTTAAATGTAATTACTTTTAATTTTTATCTTAACATAATCATAATTAAACCTGGCTTGCTTCTTCATAGTATCCCCATTGTGCTTGTTCATTGGAGCTTAAATTACTGTCACTTTCCTCAACTTTTCTTCTTTTACTAAATCGTTGTTCTTCTTTCTCATTCATTACCTCCAAATCATGAGCACTAGGCATTTCAACAAAAATTCTTCCCGTACCATAATTTTCTTCGATTACTTCTCCCACGCAATCAAAGTAATAATACTTATTATAGAAACGATCATATCCTAAAGGCTTAGTTCGTGGTAACGGGTACTTGCGTTTTTCTATTTCAATCTCCTCTTCCTGCAAAATTTATATATAAAATTATTCACATAGTTCAAAATTATATAAAGCACATATTGAATTTAAATAAATTATAATTGCTCTTTGTTGTATCTCGGCTTGTTCTTCCTCCAGCTTGTGTTTTTGGGCAGTCAAATCATTTGCTGTAATATTATCCGGAGTGATTCCATTAATATTGGCGGCTTCAAAACTTGATGCGGATGGAATGTTGCCTTTTGAAATCTCTGTTAGAGAAGATGAACTATAATGACATATTAAATCCAAAGTTATAGAATTGTCTTTTTTAATAAACAGTTTGGAAATTAAAGTTAACAATTTACATTTGCCGTTTCCTTTTGATTATACCATTCTTTTCTTTATTAAGCTCTGTTAATTTTTCAACGCAGTTCTCAATTTGACTATGAATGACTGAAGTCTTTGCTGTAATGTTGACTAAAAAGCTCAGAATTTGCAATTTGTCTTGTACTTTAAGAATCGCAAATTTTTCTTCAAAATCTTTTTCAGAAAGAGTTTTATTTGATACCAAGTGTAAAAGTATGTGATCCAAATTCGGCATAGATTCATACACGCTTAACTTTATAGTTAAATTAATACATTGGTAATAATGTAGGATAAAATGTTATAATGATAATAGAAATTACCTGTTGAATGCACCCGATAAGAACACAGATCCAACCTTTCCGACCATCATTAAGAGAAATAAGTTTTTTATCCCACTTTTGTTCTAATTTTTTTAATATTTCACGAGATGAATATGTATCATCTTCACTATCACTATCTTCTTCTTCAATACTATTAGTAATACTATTAGTTCTAACAATGGCTTTACGGGAAATGATTTGTCGTTTTTTGCCTTTTAAAAGCCACCTATCTCTAATAATAGTATTTAATAATGCAACGTGTATCTCGACAACTAAACTACACCGGGGACTTGCCACATTATGACAAAGTGACAATTCAAAATCATCAAGATTAAAAAATGACAAGAAAAGCGACTTCCTGTACATGCAAATAATTATTGACTACTGTTTTACAAAAAAAAAAATTTTTTTTGATAACGCATTATGAATAATAATTTACCCAAATATCGTAAAAAAATTCCAAATTGTTAGCATGGTTCCTACACATTCTTGGGGGATATTAAATTTTTGTCTCAATGAAGGTTTTTTCATAAACATAGATTTGATATCAGGAGGTACTTCCAAATCTTCGATTGGGTATTTGACTAATAATGAAATAAATACGATACATTATATTAAGTATCAATACGAAAATTTTTTGAAATAAATTTATTCATATCCAACCTTTTTTTGCTTTGGCTTTTGGAGGTTCTTGTTCTACTTTCTTTATACTATTTTCAATTTTTAACTCTTTTTCATTTTCTATTTCCTTCATCACGTTTTCAATTTCTACTTCTTTTATATTTTTTATCACATTTTCTTTTTCTGCGTCATTTTCATGCTCTCGTTTTTTTCTTTTCTTTGTATTTTCAATATATTTTTTTTCAGTAAATTCGCTTGGCATTTTTGCCTTAAAATTAATGAAAATTCGAAAAAATAAATTTTAGATATTTTGATTATATTTATATTGATGATCATATATACGCGCAATTTCGAACGCGAATGGATACAATACCAAAATAGGAAACCACGACAAAAAAAAACACTGTACTGTCGTACGTGAAATTAGCTATATACGTCACTACCTTTTGTTGTTAATTGATGTTTTAACGCAACTTTAGCTAAATCCCATCCTTAAATGTTTCAAAGTTTAATTTATATTTTTAAATATATTTGTCGAATCATATCATTACAAAAAAACTTATTTTTTTTTTTTGATTTTTTTATATATACAGTTAGTACTTTATCCTAACAATTATTTCTCGAAAGTTAAGTTGGACCAATTTAGTGTTAGTGTTGGTTAAAATTATGTGTCATGTGGTAACACATTAATTTATTTTTAGTTACTATATATTTGAACTTTGATTGTTCGTAGAAGCAAGTTTTTATAAGTTTGAAATTCATTTTTTATTAAAAAAATATATTTTATACTATACCGATTTTGAAAATTGTTAAGTACTTTATTAATGTGTTATTGCGCTTTCTGCAAATCACAATGTCATGTGAAAATCAGAGATCTTGAGAATTTTACAGATAACTGATAGAAAATATGAAAATATTACGGTGTCATGTCTTCAATCCAAAAGGCATGCCCTTATTATATGCTTATCACATGATCTGGCACATTCTGATTGGTTATTACAATCAAATCTCCATAAGTGTACTCTTCAAGTATATTTGTCGTATAATAAAGTACTATCACTTGAACAGTACTGTAAAAAATAATCTGCATATCTTTATAAGTGCGTATTTTATTAAATATATTTATCATTTTCTTTCATACGTATCAATTTAGGGACCTCAGCATTATGCGAAATGAAAGGCCGAATTATGCGATGCGATTGGTCCAAATTATGCGCCCGATCCCGAAATTATGCGAAATAATGATAAATTATGCGATTTTTTTAAACCCACCGATAAATTTTATTTATTTATTGAAATTTAAAAAATTTAACATACTAACGCTAATAGAATTTTCAGACAAATTTTGTCTGTTATCTGCTAAAATTCTATTATATGCAGAAAAACTACGCTCCACATCAACACCCGAAATTGGTAACCAAATATAAATTAATGCTAATTTAAATAAATTCGGTAAAATTTCAAGTTTTTCTTGCCAATAATTATCTAAATCAAAATTATCTTCGAATACCTCAGTTAAACCACAGTAAATTCCCCATTCTGTAATTAACTTATTTGTAGGGTTTTTAAATTCTTCAATATTTCTATATAATAAAATATTTTGGTGATGTGACTGTAATTGAATAAAGTGGAGATCAAAACATCTAGTAGCATTAAGAATTGAAATAGCAGAATTATTACAGGTTTTTTGAGTATTTGATATATGTCCATCTGATTTTAAATAATTATTAATCGTAGACTTTTTTTCATGATTTACTACGATTTCACATGCTTTACAGAAAAGTTTTTTACTACTAGCATAAAAATCAGATTTATATTTGGGATTTTTGGCAAGACGTTCTGTAGCATTTACCATTGTATTTGAAAAAATTCAATGTAATAAAAAAAAAATTTTTAATATAATTATTTTTTTGTGAAAAAAAATTTTGCTGATTTGATTTTTTTTTTTTTGTTACAAATTTTTATATATATAAAAAGATGGTTGATGATTTAAAATTGACCAATCAGAAAGCACCAATTGTGATTATGTGATTTTTGGTCAAATTATACATCATATATACAATATGAAAAATTGATTAATTATGTATATTACATTATATCATATAAAACTATAGTCTCTAATAATAAGTAATAGAATACAATAAATATTTAATATTATTTAATATTAAGTAAGAGATAAGTTATAGGTTATTATTACTTATAAAATTACTTTGTCTATTTCTATTCTATAGAATAGGTGAACAAATTCTGTTAAACTCTACTAAATATATTAAAAATTAATAATAACAGAATAGTCAGTTACTGCTAAGTATTATAGGTAATTTGATAAGTTACTACTAAATGTTATAGATAATTCATATACTTTTTTTAAGCTCTTAACCAAAAGCATAATATTGATAATTTGGAAAGTGAAATTCAATAATTATGATTAACCTTATGTGCCTCTACCTTGTACATAAAAGTTATTACCTTTATATAGTTTAATAAATATATGCAAAGAGAGCTTAGATGTTGCTATTGTATAATTTTATTATATGATTATTGTTGTATCATTTCTTAGAGACTTAATTCAAATAACTTGTATATAAGTCAAGATAATACAAACAAATTTTTGGAATCAACATATTATAGATTTAACATCACTATGTTATAAACTTAATATTACTATATCATAGATTTAGCATTGCTACTTTGGGTTTTTAGTATAGTTCTAACCTTATTTTCTGATATTATCATTTTTATACTATAACATTACTATTATTAGTGAAGCTTATTTCTTATATTGCTTACTTATTTAATAGAGTATCTATATTTTTATTTTTACTACTCATTGCTACACCTATATTACTATAAACTTCAATCTTTTATATATATTTTTATTATAATTTCAATCTCTTATATGTAGAAATAAAAATTGTATAATATATATTAATTATTATATTAATATGAAATTTTAAATATAGAATATAATATAAATTGATATCCTAGTTCAAGTCACAAGTTTTTCTTATTTTTTTCTTATTATATATTATTTATTTATTTATTTATATTATTATATTCTTTTATTATTTTAGTATATAGTTATTTTATTTATAATTTGTTTTACTTATGTCTTTGTTTATATTTAAAAACTATAGTAGCTATACTCATAAATATTAGAATAAGTAGTTGAAGCAAGAGTAAAATATTAACATGAGTAGTTAGAGCTATAGCATATAATTAAATAAGCTATAGATTAGTGATATGAATAGTGTAGCTTTTGTATTATCTTAGAATTGTTTAATAACAGATAAAGCAACTGCTCATAAAGAAATAAACAACTACTTTTAAAGATCTGAGTGATTTAATTATATAGAATTTATGGACTATATTATTACTTTTAATATATTATATATTATAAACTAAATTAAAAAGCTATTAATAATATTAAATCTAATAACAGTTATTTTAAACTATACTTTTAGAAATATATATACTATAATATTAAGATTTAAAAATAAATATATTATATTTTAATTAAATATTTTTTCTTATTAATTTACAAATTTATAAAAAATATTTAAATTATATAGTTTTTAATTTATAACTTTTTTTTATTATATAAACTATATTTTGTCTATTAAGTAAAAATGTTCTTTATATTATTTTATATATAATATAAATTTTTTTTAAAGTTTAAAAAAATTTTTATTAGAATAATTTATAAATAAATATTTGTAAATATAAAAAATATAATAATTTTTTATATAAATATACTTATATAGCAAGTTTATAAAATTAATAATTAATATATTTATAAAAACTCTTTCTCATAGATCATTTTACCAAATAATTTAGGAAAGAAAAACAACAAAATACAGAGAAGTGCTACCTAAATATACTAAAAATC